AATCTCGCCTAGTGCCCCACATCCTGAACACAGGCCCAACCTGTGTTCAGGTTGTTCACTAGAATTACAGATATTTATTTCGAAGATGTGCACCAAATTGAGGCAGGAGATAATGAACGCAACCAGAGTCAGAGTTTATTTTTTGCAAAAGGGGAGACATTCGCTTTCAGCGCACCAAAGTCATCCAGCGTCCTGTGACCCTTCTGCTCCTTTTATAAGCATAAGAGAGGTGGTGCGAGAATGGGGTGGTTGAATGGGCCAATGTCTGAGTTTGTGGGCGTAGTGCAACTCAAAGAAGTTGACAGCAAGCAATGTGTTTTTATATGATAACGTACAATTCCATCAGCTAATCTGCCGACCACCAATCGCTCGTGTGACCCTCCTTACCTCTAATAGCAGCGTGCCAGCCAGTTGGAGAATAATCATGCTAATTACATTTATTATTATGCATTCAGTGAATTGATTTTTAAATTGATTCAGAGGGCTTCATGCCACTGTTGTCATATTTCTGAATGAAATATGAAGACATCCACACAAATGCCCAATAGGCTCAGAATCTGTTTGCCTGTGCCCCCATTGAATTTCTCAAAATTCTGATGGAAAGGAAAAATATCACACAAGAGGAAAACACAGCTGGGTTGTTCTCAAGTCACCAACCATCTCCACTGTCTTACACACACCGAACTGAGAAACCAATACATAAATGAAATGAAATGAAATGAAATGTATTTATAGAGCACTTTAAAAACAATCTCAGCTGGAACAAAAAGGCAAGGTGGAACATCACACAAAATCTCAAGGGGTTGTTCAAAAGAAATAAAATAAAAGCATATTTTCATTCCAAAATGTTCTTTGATGTCTACTTTTACAAATTGACATCATATACAAGATAATTTTCATGACTCACCGTGAATCAAAGAGCATGGAGGGCACCAAGATACTGACACCTGTTACCCTATTGTAGCGTCACCAAAGGATCACGAAGGCATTCGTTTGTGAACTCCATTTATTGATGACAACACAAGCTATTGCATGGCCACAGGGGGAAAAAAATCTCGGTAAGTCATGAAGCGCACACAACAGTTTCACTTGCTTGACTGGTTCCAACCATGACGAGCACGTGCTTGTATATAGCAGTACTTAAGGTTGGGCAACAGTTTGTCACACGATCATATCTCTCTTCTACTTCTCTTTCTACAGTCTCTTCAAGATAACACCACACTGGATTTGGCATCTTAGATTGCTAAACAGCAGAATTGTTCACGAGTGAAGAAAATAAATTGTTTATGATGACAGTATGTTTAACAGTCAATGCATGTTTAACAGCAAGGCTCAAAATAAGTGGTTTCGCATTGTAGTCTGTGTGACAAAATTAGCATTTTGTGCTTCATTAAAAGACATTGAAGAGCAAAACTGAGAATCAACTTCTGAGACGTCCTAAAAAGCTTCACTGGGCTGGTTCACTCACCAGCACGCACAGAGGGTAGTCCGATTTAGTTTGTTCCATTAACCTGCCATGCATGTTTTTGGAATGTGGGAGAAAACTGGAGTACCCGGAGAAAACCCACGCAGGTGCGGGGGTGGGGGGGGGGGGGTAAACTCGTCACAGAAAGGCCGGGGCTGGGATTGAACCCTACACCTCTGCACTGTGAGGTGGACGTACTCACCAGTTGTCCACGTTGTCGCTCTTAGCGAAAGGACTCAACACAAAAAGTCATTTTGAGCCTTGTTTTATCTTTTATTCATTCATGTATTTATTTATCAATCATCTTTCTTGTGAAAGAAAGAAAGAAAGAAACTTGTTCTGTTGCTGGAGTATGTCCCTCAAGATTTTTACCGCATAATTACTGATGCACCCTCATCATAAGTCTTTCCCTGGCTCAGAGACAAAGGATGGAATGCCACCTATGCTAAGACAATTGTGCTTGTTTCTTTGGTATGAAACTAAACCAGCTGAGATGTCTTCAGATTATTAAGTGTACTTGTGCTTGTCACCCTGTGTGTCCTGTTTCAAGTGTGCTTTTTGTTCTTTATTTATTGATTTATTTATTTATTTATTTATTTTTAAGTTTTTAATTTAATTTGTCTTCTACAGTCAATTTATTCGTTTTAAATGTAAAGTTCGACTATGTAGACAACACAGCCACACATTACATTTTTATTTGACACATCAATTTTACAGTACCTGACATCACCGTAACAAAAATACTTGTTTTTGTAATTATGCCCTTATGTCCCCTTGCATCTGTGTTTGTGTGTGGTAATGACACGTTCAGACTTATGCCTGGTACACATGTAAGGTGTTTCCAAATCTTTCACTATTTTTTGTCAGGGACAGTAATCACACATCAAGATATCAAATCAGGTATTTAACAGCTTTTATTGAATTGTACTAATCATAATCTTCTTTTCCTTTCCGCTTTTCCCTTCAGGGGTCGCCACAGCGAATCAGTTGCCTCCATCTAACCCTGTTTTGTGCATCCTCTTCTCTCAAACCAGCTACCTTTATGTCCTCTTTCACTCCATCCATAAACCTCCTCTTTGGTCTTCCTCTCGGCCTCCTGCCTGGCAGTTCAAGACTCAGTATCCTTCTCCCAATATATTCACTCTCTCTCCTCTGGACATGTCCAAACCATCTCAATCTGGCCTCTCTGACTTTCTCTCCAAAACCTCTAACATGAGTTGTTCCTTTGATGTTCCTGATCCTATCCAACCTGGTCCCAAAGAGAACCTCAACGTCTTCATCTCGACTACCTCCAGCTCTGCCTCCTGACTTTTCTTCAGTGGCACTGTCTCCAGTCCTAACAGCATGGCTGGTCTCACCACAGTGACATACACCTTTTCATTCATCTTGGCTGAAACGCTTCTGTCGCACATCACACCTGGCACTTTTCTCCACCCATTCCAGCCTGCCTGTACACGCCTCTTCACCACTTTTCCACACTATTCATTGCCCTGGACAGTTGACCCTAAGTATACAAAATCCTCCACCTTCTTTATCTCTTCTCCCTGTAACCTCACTCTTGTATTTGGGTCCCCTTCATTCACACACATGTACTCCGTCTTGCTGTGACTGACTATTCCTCTCTTTTCCAGGGCAAACCTCCACCTCTGTCGTTTCTTCTCCACCTGTTCCCTGCTCTCACTACAGATCACAATGTCATCAGCAAACATCATAAACCAGGGAGATTCCTGTCAAACCTCGTCTGTCAGCCTGTCCATCACCATCGCAAATAAGAAGGGGCTCAGAGCTGACCCTGGTGAAGTCTCACCTCCACCTTGAATTCCTCCGTCACACCGACAGCACACCTCACCACTGTCTTACAGTCATCATACATGTCCTGCACCGCTCTAACGTACTTCTCTGTCACCCCAGACTTCCTCATAAAATACCACAGTTCTTCTCTGGGCACCCTGTCATACGCTTTCTCCAGATCTACAAAGACGCAATGCAGTTCCCTCTGACCTTCTCTGTACTTCTCTATCAACATCTTTGAAGCAAATACTGCATCTGTCGTACTCTTTTTTGGCATGAATCCATACTGCTGCTCACAAATGCTCGCTTCTGCTCTTAGTCTAGCTTCAACTACTCTTTCCCATAGTTTCATTGGATGGCTCATCAACTTTACTCCTCTATAGTTACTACAACTCTGCACATCTCCCTTGTTCTTAAAAATGGGCACCAGCACACTTCTCTGCCATTCCTCAGGCATCTTCTCACCGTCTAAGATCTTGTGGAACAACCCAGTCAGAAACGCCACTGCCACCTCTCCTAGACACTTCCATACCTCCACTGGTAAATCATCAGGTCCGAGTGCCTTTCCACTCTTCATCCTCTTCAATGCCCTCCTCACTTCATCCTTGCTAATCTTCACTACTTCCTGGTCCACAACAGTCACCTCTTCTACTCTTTGTTCTTTCTCATTTTCCTCATTCATCAACTCTTCAAAGTCCTCTTTCCATCTTCCCATCACACTACAGATACCTCTCAATACATTTCCGTCTCTATCTTTAATCACCCAAATCTGCTGCACATCCTGACCATCTCTGTCTCTCTGTCTCACCAACCTGTATAGATCAGTCTCTCCCTCCTTGCTGTCCAGCCTAGCATACAAGCCATCGTAGGCCTCTTGTTTGGCCTACGCCACCTCGACTTTCACCGACCCCTGAACTAGACTAACAAATGACCACAGTGATCCAAAACATCAGCAACATTCTTATTTTCTACACAGTGTAGGGAAGAGGGCCAAGACGATTTGACCTGATAAAACCCTTTAACGCCGAACATGTCTGCGGCGGCACATGTCGCCGCCGATACCTTCCAGTTGAATGGCTTCGGTGTTAAAGGGTTAATACGCCAAGCTACAGTTTCATATTCTGTACGTCTTGGGTACATTAAAAGTCGTGACTGTATAAATTTATTCATCACTCTCAATAATATTCTTCCAAATTAATAGTATTTGGAGTCCTGGGTAGGAACAGCTAATATGAGTTGGACACATAGCAATACTCTATATCGAAACGAGATGATATGCTTTCTCAAAGTACATTAAAAATCTTAGAGACAAAGCTGAGGTTAGCATGTTGGCTGGGCACTTGGCAAGCGTTCCAGTTTCTCATGCGGCTCCTTTGCAAAATGATTTGCCCACCCCTGATTTTGAGTCTTCATCACCCAGGGTGCATGTTTTTGGAGTGTGGAAGGAAACCGGTATACCCAGAGGAAACACAAGCACAAGGAGAAGATGCAAACCCCACACAGGAATGCTGAATTATGGATACGAACCAACAACCTCTGACCTGTGATGTAAGAAGAGACTAATTACTAAAATATTCCTCATTAGTCTAGGAGACAGTTTCCCAGTGGCTCACTCTGGCCCAGAACCTGTTTGTCAAAGACAGAACCGTACTAATGAAGTTTTTTTTTCTTTTCATTTTTTTCAATCACTAATTAAGTTCGAATTGTCTGACTTGATTTGACATGTCACTTGACCTTGCATAACTGACAGCCCAACATATAAAAGGGATTGTCATAACTCTCGACAGTGTCAAACATCGCGACTCCAAAGGTAAGCTTTACATCCTACTTTCCAAATTTCAATTTCATGTCATTCTTTCAACATTTACTGCGTTCATGTTTCACGGGCCTAAATGAAAATGAAATGCTAATGTGGTTTTTTTTTGTTGTTGTGTGTGTTCGAAATCTAAAGTATATTTCAATATTATACAGATGGCATTTGCTCTTCACTCGTTGTTCCTCCTTTGCGGGATCAGTGGACTCTTGACTGGAGTCGTAAGTCAAAATCTCACCCCACCGACTTAAATCAATATAGATTTACAATGGTGTCTGACATACGGGTGTCTTCATTTGTTCCAATGTTCAGTTTTATTTAAACCACGTGCTTTTCTTCTTCAGTGGGCTTTCCCTTCAAAAAAATCCAATGGTTGGTAGCTGTGACTCAGTCATACGTTTTTAGTTCCAAGTTCATGGACACCACAGTTGATTTTCTCTTTTTTACCTGAAAACACATCAATAATTCCGGAACAACTGTGCTGCAGACCTTGTCTGTCCTAAAGGCTGGACTCTGTTGGACTGCAACTGTTACGTTTACGAGGATGAACCAAGGACCTTTGCAGATGCAGAGGTATGGAAGAAAATAGCTCACTCCTTGTACAAGCAGTGAACTATCTGTCTTACAATTGAACATTTTGGCCACCCAGAGCCAAAATATCTTGCTAACTGCCTGGCATACCTGGAACACTGAAATCTATGTGTTTACCCCTCCTCCCAGGCTGTCTGCAACATTCTTGGTGGGAATCTGGTGTCCATCCACAGTGACCTGGAAAATGCCGTCGTTCAGCAACTGATTCTCGCTGGTACCAATGATGATGACGAGGCCTGGATTGGACTTCATGATACAATTTTGGTAAAGCAGCAGAAATATTTTTAAGTAATACCTGTCACTTGTATTTCAGTAATTTTGCCATAGAAAAGGAACGTGTGCTCAACCTTGTCACCAGTTTATGGGCTGGAGGCGTATAGTTGAGAGTATTCAGCATTCCATTGTTCGGAATTCATGAGGGGAAAACACAGTGAAACACATCATCTATCTTGACATTTGTGAAATGTGCACAGAGAGGATCTTGTAGTCGTTCAACTTGGTGAATGAATCCATTTTTCTTTCAGGAAAAATTGTCCAGTACATTTAACACTCCAACCATCATTTCATCACCTTTTGCTCCACGCTCCTACCTCGAACTCCAGCTTGGCTCAGTTTCATAATGAGACTGCATGATTCTAACAATGTTCAAGCACAATCAATATTAGATTCTGTTGTGACAAAACAAACAGCAGATGCAAATGCAAGCAGTTGTGATCGTCAAGTGTCATTTATTGAAAAGTCACTTGGTCTTCCAGGATGGTGATTACATATGGACTGATGGCACCGTTGAGGATTTCCGTAACTTTGGTTCTGGGCAACCCAATGCACTTAATGGCAACTGTGTAGCAATGGATGAAACGAGTAAGTGAAATCAGTGATTGAAGTTTGATAAGAACACAATGATGTACAGTAATACGTAAACGGTTGCTTCTTACAGATGGACAGTGGGAATCTGCGCTCTGTACAGATGACGATGAATATGTTTGCATCAAGGAAGCGCACCGTGTCTTCCACTAATCGCTCATCTTACTTCAGTCACAATGAAGTTCCATCAACACAATGATGACTCAATGACAGAATATCATACTTTCGTGGTGTCTTTGTATTCTTGGGTTTACGATCAATTTTCCTTTTCTTCCCTATTCCACAATTGTTCCTGACAACCAATTTGTCACATCAAAGAGCACCTCTCCAGTCAATGAAGGAATCTGTCTGCATCAAAATATTTGTTGGTCTTTTTTTTTTCTTTTTTCTTTTTTTAAAACATGCTCCTTTTCAAACTTACAGAGCCCATTGCTTAAAACTTAAAATTTCCAAATCATCATCATAAAGATAGAACAACAATGCATGGTCATAGATGACTACAATGCAAACCATTAAAATTTAAAATGATGTCTGTTCCAAAATTGATAAAAATGTGACGTTGGTATTCATGGCCAAGAAACACAAACGTGGCCATCGCTTGTGGTTCAACAATGCAAAAGACAAAAGCGGAATTAAAATTAAAACATGGACAAATAGCACACCCTGAACTTGTTGCCAACCAATTGCGGGGCACATATACTCAAAGAACCGTTCACTCTCACTCAACTCAACTGCATTTACAGAGCACTTTAAAACAACCACTGCTGTATACAAAGTGCTGTACGTGGAGCAAATATCATATATACAATAATAAACAATAAAACAATGAATTAATCATGAATACAGCAGAAAGCACAAAACAGTCAAACTAAGATCAAGTCTGAGTCATGCTGAGCCAAAGAATACAAATGAGTTTTGAGACAAGTTTTAAAGATGGGCAGCGACACATCCAGGGACAATCTGGAGTGATCAATTAACCGACCATGTCTGTTTTTTGGACCGTGGGAGGAACTGGAGTACCCGGAGAAAACCCACAGGGAGAACATGCAAACTCCACACAGGAAGGACAGGACCTCTGAACTATGAAGCAGATGTGCTAACCAGCTGCCTCGAGTCATGATAAAAAAAAAAAAAAAAAAATCATAGATAATACAAATAGAATTGAAATGCCATGTGCAACTCCGAGTTTATAAACTTTATACCATCGGTCCCCAACCTTTTTTGTGTCACACACCAGTTGATACAACTACAGTACCGGCAACCATTTATTTTTTCATCGCTGTTCATCGCAATGGCCCATCGCAATGGTCTGACAACAAAGATAATTATGCAGTCGTTAAGCATTTGCACCACTGACCATAAAGATTCTACAATATAACATACACAAAATAATTGCTCCACAAAATTAAAAAGTATTACAATTGTGGAATATGAATTAAGCAGCAAAATCGAACCCTCATGATCTCTCAAGGATCTCACATTTTGCCACTTGCTGTCAACCGCAAATGACATTTCAGTGCCTCAGGGCTCATCTTGCGAATGTCACACGACCAAGCCGAGAAAACAGGTAAGTCATGATTGGCCATTACCTGAGCCCTTGAGAATGTGATATCATTTTCAGTCAAAGCACAAATGACAAACGGGAAATCCCCTGAGACAGATAAAAACTGGTGGATTTGAGTTTTTTTTTATTTTATTTTATTTTTTCTCAGTTCACTTTCCACATACCTAATAGTCATCAAAATGCTGTGTTTAGACTTGTGGGGCCATATAGAAGATATTATTCGAAAGAACATTTTTGACTTGACTTCCCCTAAAAATAAATAATCATAATAATACATGTAATAAAATCTCCTTGTTGCCTGACAGGGCTAATGAGGGGGGAGGCAATAATGGCTCTCATAGCTCATCCTTTTTCTAGGAATCAAAAATAAAGTACTCCATTTTTGATTGCACATGACTGAACGGTGGTAAAATGGCATAATGTTCCCCTTTTTTCCTCGAAAATAATCAAACGGCATGTTAGTTTCCTGCATTTTAATCGTGCAACCGATGCATACAGTCTATTCAAATTGAGTACTTTGTAAATCCAAATATATTTTTCTTTTCTGTCTCCGAACATGCTCCTGGTGCTCTCTTCAAAACAGAAGAGATGCAGGTGGAGGAGAGTGACCAAAACAGTGAAAACGTGGGCAACTACCAAGATTGGTTAAATCCATCAAAAAAAAAACTTCAAGTGTATCGTGAGTTATGCGAACATTAAATACATGCACTTTAACAAATGCAACCAGATATCAATAAGGGTTCCCATTAAATCGGGTTACTGTGTAAAACACTGGTACAGGGCATGAAAAGGTTTCTTTTAAGGTTTATTTGGGTTTGCACGTTATACATAATTATTAATTATTCACAGCATTTTACGATAATTCCGATGTCAGAAAAACATGTCTCATTTTTGTCCAACAGTTGTTGAAAGAATAGCATGGAGGTCACTTTCTTCTTTTCTGCCTTTGTAACTCAAACGCTGGTAATTCGACAATGAGGTCAATCCCAGCTCTGACTTAGAACGCACCAAGATGCCAGAGAAATCCCCCACGCACAGGAATGGAGTCCCAAAAATACAAGCATTGTTTCAAAAAATAGTTCATTAAAAAAAACTAAACAAAAACAAATGACTATGCTTGAGATGGTTTACCAAAGAGGGGAATGATCAGGCCAAGGCAGCCACACTGCCTCCTTAAACCCTCTGGTGAGTGAAAACAAGCCCCCTTAAAAGGCACTGCACACTTGAGACAGAATAAATCAATGCACTGATATGATTACATTCAATTCAGTGTTTGAACACCACACCAATCGTTCCAAATGGGTCAAACAACTCAAAATCACTTGAGTTGGGTCAAATACTGTCGTTCAAATACATCACGTTCACAACGGCGTCTCCCTTCAGGGCTCGAAGTGACAGCATCATAGGCTTTGGCAAAGCTTGCTGATGAGCTGATCATTTGAATCGGATGTGCTTAGAGGCTGGAGACATCAGAAAAGAGGCTGGATCGGGGCTCTCGAGGACCAGAATTGGGCACCCCTGGTATAGTAACATGAGCAGGGCCAGTAAAGGGCCGGATCAAATTTGTTATCAATAACAACCGGGCAGAAGAAAAATTTGATTGTCAACCCCAAAATGCAAAGATCCCACTCCTTGTTGAGTCCAAATTCTGTTCATATGAAGTCATTTATCCTGAGAGTCACATTGAATGAGTCATGTAAAGATGCCATCATCTGTGTTTTTGCTGACTTATGAATTGAATTTAGTTTTGTGATCTCTTCTGACTTTATTTCTTCGCAGTCTGCTCATTATCTCTTCATCTTTGACAGTCAGCTACGTCCAGCCACTTGGGCCGTGTCCATGTTTACCTCTCATTCTTGTCACTTTTTAACTTGTTTTCAACTGCAACCCTGGACTATTGCGCAAGTGACACTGGACAGCGCAGGTGTCAAAGTCAAGGCCCGGGGGCCAGATCTGGCCCGACACATCATTTTATGTGGCCCGCTGTTGTGAACAGACAAGTGTGCTCTAAATTATTTCCTGTTTTGCTTTGAAGGACCTGTTTCAACTTCCGGTTTGTCCGTGATATATGCTGTGTGTGTTATACTTAACTAATTCTAATAAAAGCAGAAGAGACGTGTCACGCATATTTTTTCCTCCATTTATCCAGCCACCTTGAGGGGTGACACGCGGGTATACTGCATAAGTAAGCCGCTGACAACACCCGCAAAAGCAATTCATGTATCAACATCCATGATCCTTGTTAAAGTCTGTAACGAAATGTCAAATTGTGATTGTGTGATCCATAACATTGACATTTTGCTATCATATTGTTCCCCTGTTTATGCTCACTTGAACAATTATCGAACAATTAGCTGTTTTTAAGATTCATTACAAGGAAGTAGTGAAAGGTTCAACTAAGGTTGAAGTGACAGCCGAAACTGTAGGATAAGTAAGACTTTTTCTTGTCACCAAAGGAGACCATTGTCTGGAAAAAAAAAAAAGAAACGTTAAACCTAATTGAACAAACAGATAGTTGAAGTAATAATACTCTGAGATGATTCCGTAAACATTCGTTCGGTTTCACTGTCGGAATGTCCTTCCGTGGGAAGACGTAACTCCAAAGTGGCCCGCGACAAAAATGAGTTTGACACCCCTTGCTGTACAGCAAGCAAGAATGGGGGAGGAAAAAAATCCACCTCCAAAGCTTCAAAAATCTCTTTCCTCAGTTCGCAAACACTTATACCTGATTATTTTTCCATCACTCTTGTTTTAAAAATCGTTTTGAATAAAGTAAGAGCGCTGTATGTTTGCACTTCATTTTCATAGTCATTCCACTAGTTCCCCAAATCTTAACAACTAGCTCTGGTAGAACTAAAATGCCATAAAATGCAGTCGACTAAAAATGACAACAAGTTAGATTAACACAAAAGTTTAAAACATTTTAGTCGACGGAATTTACAAGGAATGAAACGCAATTAAAAAGTTGCAGTAAAATGTATTCAGGGAACAGCGCACAGCTGAAAAGCACCTACTGAAAACATACTGTCAAACTGGATTTCTCTGAATACTTAACACATCATCAGTACAACATTGTCTTCATTAAATCACAGGGTGTAGGGGCGGAGGCACCATTTTATGACACTATAAATTCCTGAGTGTCATCAACAAACTGCAATTACTGCTTCTTTTGACAATAACCTCCTTTGAGTTTCTGCAGGCACTCAGGAACTTTACCTTCCCACTGATGACACACCCATGACATAAACCCCCCCATATGCTCAAACACAAAAGTGTGTGACGCTAACACCTACAGTAAACACAATTATACTCGCTTAATTGGCATGCAACCTATCCAGATGAATGAGCTTCTTTCACTCCGTACATCTGAGCACGAAAAACCTCAATTTGAAAATTTGAAAACAAAAACAACAGAAAATGAAAAAAAATAATAAAACCACGAGCACTTGTGTCATTTCAATCATCATGACATATTTTTAAGTTATCGAAAAAAAAAAAACATTTCAGTAACAATAACATCGCCTGAAAACATCATGGTACATTTGCAACCACAAAGGTATTGTATGTGTAACTGTCCATTTTACATTCAAATTATTTGACCAGAAATCATTAAAAATAATAATAATAATAAATCCCTGCTGAAATAACGCAAGTGTGCTCTCTCTCAGCATAAAGAGCACCAGAAAACAGAAACCTCATTTAATGTACCAATTTTCCCTGCTATGAGTCTCACCATAGCATCCCACCTATTTATTTCCTTCTATTCATTCTGAGCAAATGTTGCCCTTTCTCTGTTACTGTGCTGCACCGGTCCCTGGCGAGGTCACTTGTTTCGTTTGTGGAGTTTGTTGTGCCTATCACAGTCATAATCGGTCCACGTGGTTTACACAGCGACAGGTTCATTCAGTCACACGTGAAATGTGTCCATATGTCCGTCCTTCTCTTTCTCCCAGGCAGAAATGTAGCAAATTTGATTGCAGCGACTTACTTTGGTCCAAAACCAGTATGGCAGGGGTGTCAAACTCATTTCTGTCGCGGGCCACTTTGGAGCTACGTCTTCCCTCGGAGGGCCGTTATGACAGTGAAGCCAAATAAATGTTTAATCATCTCATCGTGTTCATACTTGTACACAATAAATTGATGCATTACTAGTTTTGAGAGCAGTCAACTATTATAGTTTGTTCGGTTACCGTTCAAGTGAGTGCAAACAGGGTAACAAAATTATTGCAAAATCTCAGCATTATTTATTCATGTCTAACAATTTGACATTTTGGTACAGATTTTAGCAAGGATCATGGAAGTCGACATGCATGATTTGGTTTGACGGGCCACATAAAATGATGTGGTGGGCCGGATCTAGCCCCCGGACCTTGAGTTTGGTAACTGTGCTTATGGCAAAGGCGGAAGTGTGGCACATGCTGTTGTACAGGGTGACCCAAAAAGATGCGTACCCATATTTTATTCGATAAAAAAATCCATTTTTTAACGAATGTCTTTTCTGTTGCAGGACGTGAAAGGTGAACCTATGGATGATCGTTTTCAGCTATAGTTGCCCCAAAAATGTCTTGGACAAATCAGCAGAAGACATTCTCCCTGGAGATCTATTTTGCGACAAAATCATACCAGAGTGTACAGATTCAGTTTCGAAAACGTTTCCATTGTCGCAACTTTCCACCAAAATCAACGATTGTTAGTTGGGTTACGAAGTTCAGAGAGCATGGGACTGTAGTGAACTTATGTTCTAAAGCCACAGGGGGAACTTATTCAGGCAGGAAAAAGAGTGCAAGGACAGAAGAAAACATTGCTGCAGTGAGGGGTTCTGTGGGGTTTCCTCAAAGACAATGTATACCAGGGAAATCCACAAACAAAAAAAAAAAAAAAAAAAAAAAATTTCATGGGTACGCATCTTTTTGGGTCACCCTGTACTTCATTATTGGTTACATCCTTCACTTGAATTCCTTTTTCTTGACATGATCGCGTGTCATGGAAGTCAGCATAATCTGCATTTTCAACATTCCTAGACTGTCAACAGAGCATATATAAAGCGGCTCATCATCTTTCTCTGCATCAGGCATCACAACTGCAAAGGTGAGTTTTACACAACAACTTTTCATAACTCTTTGGAAACTCATTGCAACGTTCACGGCATTTTTTTTGCTTCAGCTGGTCGGTTGTAAATGTAACCCAGACATATGTTCTTTAAAATATTTTGTATATGCTTCTTTCATTGCAGATGACGTTTGCTCTTCGCTTGTTGTTCCTCCTTTATGGGATCTGCGGACTCATTTCTGGATTTGTAAGTCAATATCTCACTCATTGACTGTAATTCACATACTACAATGTTTCCTGTATTAATATTTTTGTCTGTCACTGTTCTGCAGTCGGATTTTGACAATGTGCTTTTCTCCTTCACAGTGGTCTTACCCTATGAGTTATTTGAAAAGTTGGTAGCTTTGACTCTTTACTTTTTTTTTTCAAATGAACATTGCTTTTCCAAGTTGTGTCAGCATTGCCACCTGTTTTAATTAAACTTATCATGTTTTCTTCTTGAAACAACCATTGTGCTGCAGATAATGACTGTCCAAAAGGGTGGACTCAGTTGGACTGTCATTGTTACATCTTTGAAGATGAAGCAAGGACCTTTGCAGATGCAGAGGTATGCAAAGAAATACTCATAATGTAGTTCCCAACGAGTTTAGCGCTATAATAATCAGTTATTCATCTGCCTTTGGTTTTAGAGTCAAAATATCTTGCCAACTGGCTGACAGAGCAAAATAAGTGAAATTCACTTTTATTGCGGAGTGTTTTTTTTATTTTGGTTTGTTTTTTTTTCCATCAGGCCGTCTGCAACATTCTGAGTGGGAATCTGGTCTCCATCCACAATGACTTGGAAAATGCACTTGTTCTTGAACTGATTCGAGCCGGTGGTGATGACAGCCAAGGCTGGATTGGATTACATGACGCGATTGAGGTGAAACATTGACCGACAGAAATATTTTTGATTAAATCCTGTCTCTTGTATTTCAGGAAAAGTACTTTTGCCACATTGAAAATAAACGTGTCCTCCAGACTCCATCTTGTCACCAGCTTGTAGGAAGGAGGTGGAGAGTATGGTATACTTCATAAGAAGAGAATATACCATAGCTGTTGACAATTGTCAAATATTCACCGGGGAGGACTTGAGTTCACCTTTGTTACCCAACTGAGTTTTCTTTAAGGATAAATTCTTGAACATTGCAGTCCCCTGACCTTACTCTCCAACCCCCTGCCCCAAAATCTATTGTGACAGCAAACATCAGTTTTGCCATTTGTGTGACCAACGAACAGCAGATGTGCATCCAAACTCGTCGTTGTCTTCATGTGACCGATTCAAAAGGGACCTTTTTCTTCCAGGATGGTGACTACATATGGACTGATGGCTCAGACCAGAATTTCCCTAATTTCGATACAACAAATTCACAGCCTGATAGCTCTGTTGGTGACTGTGTGGTTATTGCTGAGGATGGTAAGTGAAATCAGTCATCAAAATTGTTCAGAACATAGTACTCTGATGCTTACACATTTTTTTTCTAAAAGATGGACTTTGGGACACCGACGCCTGCACAGACACCAACGTATATGTTTGCATCAAGGACGTGCACCGCACCCACCACTAACCACTCATCTTACCGTGCTGTCTTCTATCACAATGGAGTTTGCTAATCATGATGACTCACTGAGACAGCATCAAACCTTTGCGGTGTCTTTATTTGTTGATGGGTTGACTACAAATTTCTCTTTTTCTCACAACACTCACCTGTGATTGACAACACATTGGCAATGTCAAAGAGCATCTCTCTGTTCAATAAAGGAATCTATCTGCATCAAAACATGTTTGTCCTTTTTATCCCTGTTACGCTCCATTAGAAATTTGGTAAGACTGTCGCTTCGAAATGTTCATTCATTCATCCATGTTCGAATCCGCTTATCCTCACGAGGGTCGCGGTTGCCAACCAATAGCAGGGCACAAATAGACAAACAACCATTCGCGCTCACAATCATACCGAGGGACAATTTAGAGTGCTCAATCAACCTGCCATGTGTTGGTGACTGTGTGGTTATTGCTGAGGATGGTAAGTGAAATCAGTCATCAAAATTGTTCAGAACATAGTACTCTGATGCTTACACATTTTTTTTCTAAAAGATGGACTTTGGGACACCGACGCCTGCACAGACACCAACGTATATGTTTGCATCAAGGACGTGCACCGCACCCACCACTAACCACTCATCTTACCGTGCTGTCTTCTATCACAATGGAGTTTGCTAATCATGATGACTCACTGAGACAGCATCAAACCTTTGCGGTGTCTTTATTTGTTGATGGGTTGACTACAAATTTCTCTTTTTCTCACAACACTCACCTGTGATTGACAACACATTGGCAATGTCAAAGAGCATCTCTCTGTTCAATAAAGGAATCTATCTGCATCAAAACATGTTTGTCCTTTTTATCCCTGTTACGCTCCATTAGAAATTTGGTAAGACTGTCGCTTCGAAATGTTCATTCATTCATCCATGTTCGAATCCGCTTATCCTCACGAGGGTCGCGGTTGCCAACCAATAGCAGGGCACAAATAGACAAACAACCATTCGCGCTCACAATCATACCGAGGGACAATTTAGAGTGCTCAATCAACCTGCCATGCATGTTTTTGGAATGTCGGAAGAAACCGGAGTACCTCGAGAAAACTGCTTGTAATGAAATTAATTTCATTCATTATAATACTGAAGACACAACAATGCTTGACAATGCATGATCACAATTCTAACCACGATTAAATTTCTTTCCACATTTGATGAAAAAAAAAGAAGAAAACAAAGACAAAAAGAAAAATATATGTTCCATCCATCCATTTTCCGATCCGCTTTTTGTCCTCACAAGGGTCACAGGGGGGTGCTGGAGCCTATCCCAGCTGTCTTCGGGCAGCGGGCGGGGACACCCTAAACCGGTTGCCAGCCAATTGCAGGGCACACAGAGAGACGAACAACCATCCACGCTCACACTCACACTCACACCTAGGGACAATTTAGAGTGTTCCATTAACCTGTCATGCATGTTTTTGGAATGTGGGAGGTAACCTGAGTACCCGGAAAATATTGCTTGTCATGTAATTAATTTTATTCATTATGACAGGGGTGCCCATTACGTCGATCCTGATCTACCGGCAGATATAGGACTCGTCCCAATTAGATCCGAAAGGTGTTGAGGAGAAAAAAAAAAATTGTGTGTGTTTGGACATTTTAGTAATATATGTTTTGTGTTAATGCACACTGCACCCTAATCATCCTATCAGTCTCATTTTCCCAAAGAAAGATTCTAAAATAAAATAAAATAAAGCAGGTAAATCTTTAACCTACGGTGGCGCGTGACTACGTCAGCGGAAGTTGTGAGCGCTCAGCAGTCTGCAATTGCAGCTTGTGATCAGAGCTGTTGCGCTATATCTTTGATCGTCATTATTCTCATTCAGAGTTTGCTTCGTGTGCAATTCACCAAGGGCACGAGCAAAGAATAGGAATCTAGAGGGCTGAGGGAAGCAGGATCAGAAAATGGATGGATGGATCGAGATTAGAGAAGCACACAGCTGCTGGGGAGAGAGAGCATATAGCTGTTCGTGACTTTCACAATTTTCTTGATGTGGATAACTGCGACCGAAAAACAAAACAAAAACAAAAAGCAACTTTTACCTTTGTAGGAAAGATCAGGCTTTGTAGGATTGATCAGGCTAGTGTATATGGACTCTTTTTGGCTGCTGTTTGTCTCGCACACACACACCCACACACATCTACGGAAAACATGCAGGACACCGGCCCTCGAGGACCGGACTTCGACACCTGTGCTGTACAGTATAGCAGGGGTGGCCAACCAGTCAGAGACGAAGAGCCATTCTTTTACTGTGTTGCCAAGAGCCACATACACACGGGCATCCCGTCCTCGCGCGCACACGAACGCACGCACGCGGGTGCCCAAACATGCACTCGCGCACATATGCACGCACGCCATGATGAGCAACAGCCAGAACGGCCTGAACATGAACGAAACCCCCCACCCGCCGCCGCCCCATTTCCTCCTCCCACCCCTTGCGGTCGACTTGGGACCAGTCCACTGGCTCCTGGTCGATTGCGATTGTATTGGGCACCCCTGCCAGAGGTAATTCGCTGATTAGCTTAGCGCATGAGTTTGTTTGCGCATGAGCGGTGATTCAGTCATCTGATTGGCTGCCCTCTATGTCAATCAAGTAACGGGATTGATGATAGGCTGACGTAGGATGTTCTGTGTATTTAGCGCTGTTGTTTGAATGGCATTGCCACCTGCGAGGCGTGTTCTCCACTTGTCGTGTGAAAGCCCGGGAGCCGCATTGAACCAGCGAAAGAGCCGCATGCGGCTCGCAAGCCGCGGGTTGGCCACTCCTGCTGTATCGCATCATCTGGAGTCAAGGCATTTATTATCTGCAGCTGTGCTTATGTCATTAAAATATAGTTGGCCGCACGGCTGCATGCACACAGCACAGGCAACCACAGGCACGTCTGAGTTAATTAAATTAATTAAATCCTCAATGAGATTTTTTTTTCATTTTGGCACTGTAATTTATGGAGACTAGGCTACAGTCATGTCAATGCAACTCAAATGGTTTGTATGCTACACAATTGGCACCTTCTCACAAAGATCACGGCAACGCAGATGAGGTCGTTCCATTCCAGAAAGACCTCAGGTGACCACCAAGGTGCACAATAAATTCCTCCGTCTGCCTGGGTTGGAATGGCCCCTGTGGTGGAGTCTCTGTGGCTGGAAGCTGGGTCACTCTGGTCCCCTGTGCTCAGTCATGTGTCTCAACCTTGTTCTTCGCAATCTTTTTATTTGTATTTTTATTAATTTTTTGGGGGTGCTAATTTTCTAATTTGTGTAGTTGTTTTTGGTTGTCGTTGTTTGTTGTCTGGTTTTATTGATTTTAAGATGCAACTTTGTTGAAAATGTACCGCACTTCGGGTTTCAAGGAGCTATACAACATAATCGATTTGATACACATTATTAACTACCTGTGATGCGTCTGACTTATCTATATATATATATAACTTACAACATGTTAACAATACATATAAGTTCGATTTTTGGAAAAAAAATTGCATTAAACATTTTGAATAAGTCTGTCAGGTGTTTTTTTTTTTTTTTAATAGCCGATAAGGTAACATAAGGTAACAATTAAAAAAAAAGTTTGTATTCCCTTGCAAAACGCAAAGATTTGCGCTCCATACCAAAGACAACGAGATAACGCAGTTTTGTTTTTTTATTTTTATTTTTTGCAAAGAAGCTCTTTTTTTTTTTTAATGTGACTATGTGCTTCCGGGTCATTTTCCGGGTAAATGAAAGCAACACAGGTGGCGCATTTTCACCCATGGTCGAGTTTAATTGAATTTTACTTTGAAATGGGCTTGTTATTGACATTAAGCACGCTTTCCAAAAAAGCAAATTACATCTGAAGCGTTACAAGTCCTCCTCCATTATCCTTGCCACCTCCAACCTCCTGGCGTCTCTCAAACAACTTTGCATTAGATGCTACAGTAGCCAAACTGAAGTACATAAACTTGCATTTAAAAAAAACGTTCCCTTGAAAAAAAAAATTTTTGCAAGGCAACGAGAATGTTTTTTTCTTCCATGTCACCTTAGGGCTAAGTAGGTTTTGTACCTCTCTTTTTAAGTCACTTGAAAAGTTGCCTGCCGTTGATTTCAATCTTGTTTTGGAAGCTCTAACTTCAGAATGTTTCTCACTGTCCTCAATAGTCTTCAGCAGACTTCTGTTCCTCCTTTTTGTCCCATCCTCTGAATGCAAGATCTCGGTCCAACCTTGCTGAGGACCGTTGCTTTAAAATCCCTCGATCCTTAGTGTCTTTTTTACAAAGAGGTTTCAGATAGTTTGTGGCTCTATTTAGGCCTTTTTTGTTTTCAATCCAAATGATGTTGTTACGTCCTTGTGGTATCTGTGGAGGTGTGGTGCGAAGTGTGTGTTTAAACAATGCAGGGATCAGCTTCAAGGCGTACACTGTACAGTTTGGCTTACACTTTTGTACTATCATATAATTTGATTGACCGCTCGTTCGTTTGGAAGCCACATTTTATTTAACTTGATTTGGACGCATGCGCAAATGATTCAGTTTTTTTTGTACGGTGTACACCGTTACGTGTACACTGTACAACAAGCTTCTCCTTCTTACACAAGACATAGAAATGTAATTTTAAGTCTTCCAAGCATTGTTTATTGTAACACATTGAAGTCAAGGAAACTTTTTTTCACATCCCATTCATCAGGTTTGTCAACGTAATTCGCTTCCTCACAGAATGTAGTGTGATATGGTTTCTGTTTTTTTTTTCTCTATCTTTTGTATGTTTTGCTTTTCTTTTTATTTTCTGCACTTTTGCCCATGTCACACTCCAGTCCGGTTGGTGGCGGTATTGCTATTTTAAGATAGTTTGCCAGCCGCAAATAAACCCCATAGCGGAGGATGACATCACGCGTTCCACGTTGTCCCGGACGTGGCAGTTGGTCCGGAGTCTTGGGAAGAAGAAACCCGAGCATTTCTGACACGTTTACCTCTGTCGAAGGGTCTTCGCGAAGCAATCAAACATCATTCAGCAGTCATGGGGCTGACCATATCTACAATCTTTGGTCGACTGTTTGGCAAAAAACAAATGAGGATTTTAATGGGTGAGTTTAAAAAAAAAAGGGCTTGGTTGAGTTTAGCCACACGCTAAGCTAGTCTCAGAGAAGTTCTACTAGAAATTTGCAAATGTTTACGTTCAGAAATGCAAACAGGTGGTCGTATTAAAAGATAAACCATGGGGGTTTACTACGGTGTTGTAAAAAGTGAAAAAAATGACAGTAGAATCGCTTTGTAAGTATAGTTCATTTTCGAAGGCGTTTTTTGGCTTTCTCGAGGATAATTTGACGCAATCTTGATAATCCATCAATTTTGAATGTAGTTTTTCCCCCAACTTTTTTTTTCACACTACCTGTCCAACTTTAGCTATTTTTCTCCAGACATTCGTCGTTCTCGTTCTTCTGGATCGCCTAATTTATGCGATTTTAGCAAATGAATCTTTCCTGTTACTTGAAACCAACCGGCACATTCTGTTAGCTCGACTTGCTCTATTATGTAACAACAAATATGTTGTCGTCATCCAGATGTCGTAACTTGTGTCATTTCACAACGTTCTCCCATAGTTGGTCTGGATGCTGCTGGAAAAACTACCATTCTATACAAGCTGAAGCTTGGTGAGATCGTAACTACCATCCCAACTATAGGTAAAAAGACATCTTTAATGAGCTGTCATATCAGTGCGTCATTTTGTGCTAAGGTCTGCGGTTACATTCTCTCCTCGTGATCAGGTTTCAATGTGGAGACGGTGGAATATAGGAACATCAGTTTCACCGTATGGGATGTGGGTGGCCAGGACAAGATCAGACCCCTGTGGCGACATTACTTCCAGAACACACAGGTATGAGGAATTTGGTGGGGGTCATAAGTGAAATGGAAAATCTAAGTAGCAGCCGGTATTACACACACCTGCACATAGGGCTGGGTAATTCATTGAAATTTAATTGTGGGTTTGATTTTGGCTTATCTTGTTCTTAAAAACGATATTGTCAAACTGATAAACATGTTAAATGGCATGGTGTGTATGCAAGTTCCCGATGTTGTTAAAGTACCCTGAATTTAACATGATACTTGCACAGCAAGCGTCTGATTTTGCCTGCGTGTTTCAAACCGCTTAATGGTGCCCCAGCTAGAGTTTGTTGTCAAACTAAACCGTTTTTTACACACATTGTAGCATTCTATATTTAAATGCAAGACATGCTGTGTTCCAAAAAAAAAAACATTGTCAGTGTGTGAACTCATTCACTCCCAAAGACATATTTATGTATTTTCAGACTTCACACATTCAATCCCATGTACTTAGGTTTTCTTTTTTCCGAGTTTTTTTTTTTCCAAGACTGAAAGTCATTTTTTTAAAAAAATTTATACGGGTCTGAAAATGGGTGTTACTGAATGAGTTTTAAAGGATTTTTTTTTTTTTTTTTTTTTTAATGGGTCTGAAAATGGCTGGGACTGAATGAGTTAATAATCAAGTCTCTGTAAAATCGTATTGACCAGCAAGCAGGAAATTAGCATGAAATGTTCCATCAAATAACGACTATTCATACATAAACGCAGTAGGGATACACATGTCAAGTAATGTAACACCAAAAGTCACAGACTCTTTCCAATCTGTCAAAACCAATTTGTATTACGATGTGTATAGAAAATCATCACACCCTGTGAAACGCTTGACCTTTTGTCACCTTACACCTTGGAATTTACAACAAATTAAATCAAACTTATTTCAACTCTGTGCGCATAATAATTATTAAGAATTAGTAAATCAAATACCTGATTAGGCTAAGTGATCAGCCCCCTCGTGGAGACCCTTACAAACTTACTCTGCGGCAACCAATCAACTTCCAGATCAAACACCGGGCCAAGTGCACCCCACTTGAAATGAATTGCAGGGTTTTGATTACTCTAGAACAGGGTTGCCAAACTCCGGTCTTCAAGGACCGCTTTAATCGCATGTTTTCCCGAGTTGCAATCGGGTTCCTAGAGAGCTTGCTGATGAGCTCATCATTTGAATTCAGGTGTGCTGCAGCAGGGAGAGATGGGAAAACATGCAGGAAAGCGGTCCTCGAGACTTTGACACCCCTGCTTTTGAATAAACCTTTTTTTTTTCTTGGAAAATTTCACCACTCGTAGAACATGGTGGTGAAAGGATTCATTCAACATGATTGGAAGAAGCACATTCAAAGGAACCCCAGGATAAAATTGTTAAAAGGCACAAGTTAGTTGAAGGTTACAAAAAGATTTCAAAGGGCTTTGTCTATCCTTCTAAGTACCGTTCAGAGCATCATTAAGAAGTGGAACGCTTATGGCACCACCAACACCTCACCTAGCCAGGAGGAAGGACATTGATCACAGATGCTACCAAGACACCAAAGGCAACGTTGAAGGATTTACAAGATTTTATGGCTGTGGCTAGTTGGTCTTTGCTCTTGTGTATTTGACAACAATTTCACAAGCTTTAGACAAAGCTGGTCTGTATGGCAGTGTGACAAGAAATCAGCCCCCAGTCGATCGCGATCAACGTATTGGGCATCACTGCCTTAAAATCAGAGGTAATTCACTGACGAGCTTAGCGCCCTTGTTCACGCATGAGCGGTGACCTAAAGGTCAAAATTCAGTTGTCATCTGACTGGTTGCCCTGTATGTCAGTCAAGTAACTGGATTAATGATAAGGGTTGACATCGTAAATTCTGCTGCACTTCGTGCCGTTGTTTCAATGGCAGCGCCACCGACGAGGAGTTTTCTACGCTTGTCATGTGAAAGCCCTGGGGCCGCATGGAACCAGCCAAAGAGCCGCATGCGGCTCGCGAGCTGCGGGTTGGCCACCACCGCTGTAGAGTCATATACAAAAAGGTCATCCATTTTGCTTTCGTCTTGCAGGGACTCATCTTTGTCGTGGACAGCAACGACCGAGAAAGAGTGGCAGAGGCTGCAGACGAGCTCTCAAAGATGGTACGTATTATTGGTGCCGAGAAACATGCCGAAATGGGAATAATACCTCTCTGACTATCAAAATGGAGCATTATCTTTGGATTGAATTTGGCTACGTTCCGTCAGTGAGGTTGCAGGACATTGAGTTCTGTTCCGTACACTAGTTGAAATGTGGCGGGACCAAGGTTATGATTACACATCCACACATATTTTCAGAAATGAACTAAAACAGTGTTTTAAAAAAACACAACTTATCGAAACTACATTTTATGTTTACAACCTAATAAAAACTTTCTCTAATTACAGCGAAAATGCCTTTCATTTTTAATTCCATGCGTGGGTGTCAAGGAGGAAGGAGTGGGTGGTAGGCAGGGATTGGCAGACATCTTTTGTCATCAGGTTTTATTGGCTGAGTTTCAATTGCAAAGTTGTTTGCACAGTTTGGCTACAGTCCCTTAATAGTAAGATTTTCACATAGAGTGCCCTCCAAAAGTTTAGTTTTTGTTGGATACTTTTGGGTTTGAGATGGAAAGCTGAATCTGAAACAGAAGTTCAGAACTCCAGCTCTTATTTCATGGTATCTACATCTGGACAAGTGAAACAACTCAGGGCAGAGCACCTTTTGTTTGAAGGCACCGACTTGAAGTGAGAAAAGCATTGGAACAGATATTATTAAATTCACTTGAAGTGAATAACTTGTAATGCTTGGTGACATCACTCTTACTTGTAATAACTGCATCAAGCCTGTGACCCATTGACTTCTCCAGACTGTTGCGTTCGTCATTTCAAATGCTTTTTCAGGCCCTTCCCGCAGCCTCTTTTCATTGTTTGCTTCTGGAGGTTTCTTTGAGAGGTAAACATGTCTTCAATATATCTACTTTGTTTTTTTTTTTGTGCATTTTTCTGTTAATTGCCAAACAAAATGGGTTTTGTAAACTGCAACATTCATTCTGCTGCACTCATCAAAAGTTATGTCATCACTAAAGACAAGTGAGCCTATTCCAGAAGCAACTTGCACCGTGCTTCACCGACAAGCGTATTTGATTATATTCAGACACATGGGGTTGAAGTCTTTGGTGTATGTGCTTGCAGTTGGGTGAGCAAGAGTTGAAAGATGCCGTGTTGCTGGTGTTTGCCAACAAGCAGGACCTCCCCAACGCCCTTACAATCAGCGAGCTCACAGACAACCTTGGTCTCAACAGGATGCGGAACAAAGAAGTAAGTCGCCTCTGAATGCCCTTGTCTGTGGGGAAAAAAGCGTCGGCTGGTTGCGTACGCTCCCGTGTCATCGTCTCGCCTGCTGTTTGCAGTGGCACATTCAGGCGACCTGCGCCACCCAGGGCACCGGCTTGTACGAAGGACTCGACTGGCTGTCCGCGGAGCTGTGCAAATAGGTGCCAATCATCCGGGCAGATGAAAGCGTGAACTTTCACACGGACTTTCAACGTTTGGCCCTGCAGCTGCGGAACACATGGCTGGTGGCCAGTATGGTTTTTTTTTTTTTTTGTTTTGTTTTGTTTTTTTTTTTGTTTTGTTTTTTTTTTTTGACAGAGAAAGTGTGGGGTGGGGCGGGGGTTGTCATTCTACTTTCATTCCATTGTATGACCAATCTATGAGAGTCATCATGAAAACGATGCAGTTTGACCACTTGAGTAATTCCAGTCTGGTAGCGTGAGGTTGGGTTTTGTGAGGTTCTCGTCAACGGATACGGACCCGCATTGCTGTGATTTATCTTTTGAAGTGTTTTTCTACCACTTAGCCTTCCGGTGAATGGATCTAAAAAGCAACATTGTGCCTTCTAGACTCTCTTTTTATTTCATGCTTAACGCTCACGCTCTCTTAAGATGCTTTTTTTGACTTTAAAGACAAAAGACTTTTTTCTTTCTTTTTCTTTTTTTTTCTTTTTTTTTTACAATTTTTCTGTACGTGCTGCTTCATTGCAAACAGTTTTCCTCAATGCATGTAACAACCAAAAGTCTGCACTTGCATTTGTCAAGACTAACACAATTGTCCCATCGAGCAATTGTTTGAGAGAAGATTCATTGTCTCGTCATTGCTAAAATTGTTTCGATGACATATAAGTAGGTTTTTTGTTTTGCTTGGAATGTTTGCTAGCAAATGCTTAATATTGAGAACAATTTTATACGCCTATATACTTCATTGTTTGCTCCATCTTGGAAAAAACAATTGGTGGGGGTGTGCACTCCGGCATTCGCTTGCAGAACCTAAAATTTGTGATTGTTTATAACAAGAATTTGCTTTAAAGTGTATTACAAATAAGTTCACAATAAAGATTTTAAAAATATATATTTGAGTTCTCCTGTTACCAAATTCAATTCCAAGAAAACATGCATTTATCTGGAGTCTTTAATACAAGCCAATCCATATTAATGCTAATTTTTGATTCATACTATTACAAAAGGGTTTGTTTCTTTGTGTATAACTGTCATTCATAATTTACTGCAATGCATCCCACTGAGCGGTTTCTAATACTGTATTATGAAAATATTAGATTAAAATCACAACAATTATTCTTTGTGCTATTCCTGTTACAGTGCCTTGGAAAACTTATCGTGAAGTGCACTTTTTTTTTAAACCAAAAAAAAACAAACAAACTATGTGTACAAATAAATGTTGCCCAAAAAGTTCAATTTTGACCAAAGTACCTTGTTTGACTGTTGTGCCTCCTCTGTGCCTCATGGCAAACTTTGTCTTTGTGCCACTCTTCCATAAAGGCCAGATTTGTACAATGTGCGACGAATAGTTTCACCACCTAAGTTGTGGATCTCAGCAGTTCATCCAGAGTGATCGTGGCCCTCTTGGCTGCACCTCTTGATCGGTGCTCTCCTTGTTTGGGCCAAAAGTTTAGCGGAACAGCCGGGTGTCTTAGTACGTTTGCAGTTCATTTCGATATGATTCATGGAACATTGCTCTGAGAGATGTTTAAAGCTTGTGAAATTTCCGAAGAGAAAAGGGGGTGAATAATGTTTCATGTCCTACTTTTCAGTTTATTTGTCACAAAAAAAAAAGGACATTGTATAAGTGTAGTTACGGTTAACGATTGTGTCCCACTTGGTGTCGATTCTTCACAAAAACAAAAAAAAACTTTTTTTTTTTTTTAATATTTTTTTGAAATGTGGGAAAATATCAAAAAGTTCAAGGGAGGCTAATATTTTTGCTAGGAACAGTATATCATCATAAACGAAACAAGACAAGAGACTTTGGGGGATTAGGACATGGATACTGAGTGTTTGCATTTGGATGTATAAGCGCTATTTAATTGGTCTAACGCATTTACAGCATGACAGCTAAAGCTAATCTGTTTTAGCAAAGATAGGTCAGCTCTGTGTCTGCCTGTCAGCAAGCTGCCGAGTGGGTCAGTATTAAACAACTCGTGTATTGTTTTACTTTTATTTTTTTGTGCCTCTGGGTTTGGACTAAATACGATTAATGGAACTTATAGTGCCTCTGTCCAACATATTTCAGAAGGTAAGTGTTGAGTGAACTTGAACTAGTTGGACCCTTAGTCGTGTCGGACAGGCTGATATTGGGTGTGGAGTGTTAGACCTCCCTGGTGTAGGATGCAGACCCATGTTCCAGTTCCGCGACCCGCTTACTCCCAGGCCAGGGAGAACCTGGTAAAAGCAATCCCGCCCAAGCTCCTGTGTCTACTTGCCTGTGGGGGAGTGGACTGCCGTTATGAAGGACCAGAGTGTTGGAAAACAAACCAGCAGGTCATCAGAGGCATTTTCTCATCATGGTAGGACTATATGATTGACTCCTAAACAATCAGGAGCAAAAGGCATTTGGTTATTTATACCATGTACTCTTCCCTGAAATCCCAGGGTGACTGATGACATCATCGCCATGGCGCGACCTTCCAAAATCTTGATTGACAAGTATAACATCATTGAGCAATTCCAGCGGTATTGCCTTGAGTTTATGTCTGAAGTAAAACAACAAATGTGGGCGGTGGCATTGTGTTCTCATATGTGACTTCTTTCCTAGATTAAATATCAGATCCATCATAAACATGCAAATGCCAGGCGAGCATGCTCACTGCGGACCCCCCTTGGACCCCAAGAGTGGCTTCACGTACTCGCCGCAGACCTTCATGGAGAATGACAGTGAGATACTCAAACTTGCCGAGGGACGTTTGCCGCCCATAGGATATTTCATAGCCCACTACCTGATATTGAAGTTTAATAATAGGGCGGCTCCCACGTTTTTGTGTGCGTGTGTCGTTGCCCTGGGCATTTTGTGTGTTTTTTCAAAGTTTACTATTAGGGCGGCCCCCACCTTTTTTTGTGTGTGTCAATGCCCTGGGCAGTTTTTTTTTTTTTTTTTTTTTTTAGCAGAGGGGGGGTTAACCATGTGGGCTGCCTTAGCTCAGGCTCATGAGAGCTTTAAATAAAATGTAATTCTGAAGTGACACCAAGTGCAAGGAAAAGATATCCCCTCAAGAAGTCCTAGTCATGTATTTTTCAGAACCTGTCGTGAAGAGAAAAGTTGGCGATGAGAAAAAAAAATTTTCAGAAAAACCTTAGACATGTTTTTTATTTATTGCCCTGAATGCACAGAGAAAGTTTTAGTGCTCAAGTAATCAAATGCCAATACAGCTACTCAACGACACACGCTGAGGGGTATATGCGAAGTACCAGGAAGACAAGAGAGAAGATCATGTCACCAATCTTGTTCAGGTTTTGAAGAACCGCTAATGTTCTGAACAGTTATTAATAAAGATTGAGAAGATTGGGTTCGGGTTTTTTTTTTCTTTTTAATACTTGAACCCCTTTTTTGTGGAATACTTGATGCAATCCAGACACACCCGATGTCCAGCTGACTCCACATGAGTTAAGTTCATGAGCACTTGTAATCGTTTTTGGACAATGTTATGCTTCCAATTTTGTGGTAACAAAATTCCCCCAAACAAACTTCAAAGTCTTATGAAAAGTCTTCCCAGAAGAGTGCAAGAGCAACAAATGTCTATTTGTAGTTCCAGGAGTGTTTTTTTTTTTTTTGTACTGCTGCTGGACTGAATTTCATTAGTGTTGAGGCCAGTGAGTGCACGTTTCTCATCAAATCATCCAAAATATTTAATGTGCATGTTTGTTCATTTTGCAGTTTACTTTTACAACTTTGGGATGCCAGACTTCTGCGTGTCTTCCTTGGTCAACATAATAGATGGAGTAAAGGTGCTGGCCTTCGCAGTAGGGGAAGGCAGGGTTGCTGTGCACTGCCACGCAGGCCTTGGCAGAACAGGTTTGGGCTCCATCAGTGGTCTCCTAGCAAACGTGACAGTACGCCATACAAAACGTTGTACTGTGACTGCTCCAAAGGTGTCCTGATAGCCTGCTACTTAATCTACACTTTGCGCATCACTCCCAGCGAGGCTGTCCATTACGTTCGCATCAAGAGGCCGCGCTCCATCCAAACTCGAGCACAGATCAGCCAGGTGTTCGACTTCGCTCGGCTGCTAAGCACACAGCTGGTGCAATACCCAGACCTCAGCCTGCGACACGGATCCCCCGTCACTCTGCAGCACTACCTCAACCGTCAGGCGCTTCTGTTGCACGGCCAAGAGGCCCGCACGCTCAGACACATACCAAAGGTCAGGATTTGATGGTCGTCCGTGTCGCTAACTGTACAGCGTCATTGATCTTGCCATCTCATCAGGTGGTGTACCTCTTGTGTGTGCACCTCTCCTGCTTGGCGATGGGACTACCCGCAGCTCCGGAGGTAAATGCCGAACTGGAGAAGAGGTCAGCACTTAGGATCCTGACCAGAGTGGTGAGGGAGACCCTGGTGTCTAAACAGTTCCTGCCCTTACTGAGGGAACATCACAACATCAAACGGGTGGGCTCGGGCTCCGTGTCCTCCTGGGATGAGCAACTGGGATTCATGGAGAGGAAGAGGGATTTGCTTCTGGACAAGCGCAGCTACAGTGACTCTGACCTCTGCAAGATGGTGGTAAATGAATCTGAATTTCACACATTCAGAAATCCAGAGTCCAAATTGACTTCTTGTCAAGAGGGACTTCAGTTCAGTGAACTTTTTAAGATGAAAAACAAGTGGTTTCTGTTTCCTTTGGCTCTTCTTTTTTTACTTTATCCACCACTGCTGGCAAAGATTAAAAAAAAAAAAGTTCAGCAGTAGATATACCGTATTGGCCCGAATATAAGACGGGTGTTTTTTTGCATTGAAATAGGACTGAAAAAGTGGGGCTCGTCTTATATTCGGGGTCGAGACATTATACCCATTTACGACGCTAGATAGCGCCAGATATCAATGAAGCGAATGCTGAACTTGACTCCCAGGCCAAGTGAACCCCTACCACTAAGAATAAAAATAAAAAATAGCGGTAAGAAGGAAAAGAGAAGAAAATAATAAAAGAGATATCAAAAAATGGAGAAACGTCGTGACAATCTGGAGAAAAGTGGGTCGAAGATCGGCCAGGTTAACCGGCAGCTGAGGAGAAGTTATGATGTAATTTACATTTCAAAAACCAGAAGCCATTCATTTACGAATGTGATTGCACTTTAGATTTGAATGAGTCAAAATAACATGCGTTTTCTCTCAAATATATTGTCATAAACATTTGTTTCAGATGTACTGTAATTATTTTCTGCATAAAAATTAATTTGGTGTTCAAAAAGTCTTTTTTCAAACTTGAGTCTTGGAAAAGAGGGGGTCGTCTTATAATCAGGCCCGTCTTATATTCGGGCCAATACGGTAGTTCAGAAAATAGAATAATGCAATGTCAGAAATTGGAACAAAGGTCTCTTTCTCGATTGCTTGTTACATTACACCACCGTCTACAATAACTAAGGACTGTACACTAAAGCTGTGAGAAACTTTCATCGCTTACGTTACAATAATCTTCAGTTTATGGCGTTCCCGCCAATATTGATGGTTTATATTGTCTGTACATTTGATGACGCTAGGTTCCTCTGGAACAGATTGATTCCTTTTCCATCATTTCTTCTGGGAAAAATGAATTGTAAATCTGAACAAATAAGAACTCAATTCTTGTCATTTCATTTGATCTTGTCCTGCAGGATCTGGAGATGAGTCCCTGGTGTGCATGGGATGTGATAGAACCTGACCTGAGACCACTGAGCTCCAAGACTGCCACACTTTCACCACAAATGATCACCAAGAACCATTCGCATGCACGCTTTATGCGACCAAGCAACAACTCCGCTAGGAACTTAAAGTGTACGGTCAAAAAGGCTCAATCCAAGTACAGCTCCAACATGGAGGTAAAATCGACCGACTATTTAGGATTGTAAAATGTGTGATGAATTCTCTGACTCATGATGATTCCGCAATAGTTGTCCAGGAGCACACAGAATGTGCGCCCGACCTCAGTGGCTCGTGCAATTGCTAAGGCAATGGCGGACCAAGATCCACCGGAAGAAACCATTCTGAGGCGATCGTCTCTTCTACAGGTGCAAATCCCACATTGGCACATTTTTCTAACAATTTTCCAAAGTCAGTCACTCACCTCCCTAACAGGAGGAGCTGAACAGCAGCGAATGTGGCTGGGCTCTTTTGGTGACAGAGACGGATGCTCGGGTTCTCACGTGTCTGCTGTGGACCTGGCTTGAGAAGCTCAAAGTCTGTCATTAGACTTCAAGCAAAACACAATTATGTCAGGATTTACATTTCATCCAACTTAATATTCCATCATATTTGATCCATGTTTACACAGGAGCCTGTTCTTGGTGCCGAGGATATAGTAAGGTTAAGTTGTGTGGGACGCAACAGGAAGCCTCTTAGTGTACTCAAGAAGGTAAGGTACCAAAACATATTGATAATCGTGTTTAATGCTACAGCAATGGACAAGCTACTCATTTTTTTTTCATCCCCTTAAAAGCTGTCGGTCAAAAGATCAGTTCTGCTTTAGGGCCAGTAGTGTTGGAGATCCATTCGAGATGCGAGATCTCCCAGTTCTGAAATACTGGGATTCTTTATGCACAACAGAAAAGCAATGTGGAGATCGTCGCACTACAAAGCATTCAATTATGTCAACCCATCGCTTCTCACAGCTTTTAAGGAATCCAAAGGAGCGAGTTTGTTGTTTCTTTCTTGGATATGGTGGTTATAATGCTTATGTTTATCTTCACATCTGCTACTTGTAACAATTCTAAATCATGTGTTAAATGGTAAACTGTGGTGTTGTATCAGTCTATTTTATTCACAACTATTAAGGAAACCTGCAGGTGATTCTTCTGATTTTTTTTTTTTTTAATTTTATGTTATTTTATTATGACGAGAGCTGTGCTAGCATTAGCACTTGAGCCAATAACAAAGTAAGTAAATGTCGAACTTGGAACTGGAAATTCAGTGTATCCTCAAATTGTTCCTGATCATGCTGGCGAACATTATTGAGGAAGAAAAAAAATGCCTTAATTTTGTATGGTTAAATTGTGCCTGGAGTGGAGATAACACCAGGAAGTGGACTCATGTCTGATTTTACTGCATTTTCAAATCCAGCAATTTCAAGTAATCATCCTTATCTTTTCAGTCACAGAGGAACACTATCTATTGTCTCTTGCGTTGTGTCAACACGGTGACCAGCCTGTGTCCACACAGAGAAGATGCAGTGCTGAAGCGTCTGCTCCGAGCACTGACAAAGGTCAGGGGATAACAGCGCGTTTGCGTTGTTCTTCTTCCTTAGGGAGGAAAGCACTCACAAGATCGCTATTTGTCTTTTTGACTCAACAGCGGCCTCAAGAGGACATGCAAAACCTTGCAAGTTTAATAAAACTCATGAGGGCCCATTTGAGGGAGACGCTTCCCAACAACAGTTACATCCAGAGGGCCTGCAGCTGCAATGCTGCACTTTGATTTTTTTTTTCTTTACTATGAATGGGTCAAAGAACTAGCTTGGGCGATTGTGGTTACAAGAGTGCATGGTCCGTTACTGACAAACTTGGTGATTTTCATTTGATTGTAATATGTCTGCGGCCTAGAATTTTTTTAAAATTAAAACTTAACTATTGCGTTAGCGTAGATTAGTTAGAGACTATGTCATGTTCCAGTTTATAGATCAGAGCTCTGCTGTAAACCGAGCACTCCCTTAAATTCTTAAGTTTTTAAATCTTGATGATTTCAAAACTGCAGTAGAGTAGTAAACGTTTGGCTAACTCATGTCAACCATTAATGTGCAAACTCCATTTTGCCGTGTTGGCGTTCTATGCATGATGGATCATTGTCACTTTTTTTAAATTTTTTTTTTAGCAATTACAGAACATTGAAACAAGTCACACTGAACCATGACTGTTTTCTGAGTCATTCACACATTACCTTCTCTTTAATAACTATTTCGAGATTTTTATATATACCTGATCACCATGACATCACAGGCACGAATGTACATCAGGGTGGGGAAAACTCTGATTGCACCACTATTATTGAAATGCTTACATGTTATTTGACCAAGGCAGACCAAGTGAGAAAACAGGGTAAATGGCTGGAAAAATGATTTTGTCTTTTTCTCAACCAACCGGAGTGTAGATGTGTTAAGTGACTGTCATAAAATATGCTAATATATGAGGTAAATTGCTTCCAAGGGGATCCAAACAACAACTAGAAATAGAAGCGGTGGAAATCCAAACATAGTTATGGTCCTCAGAAGCACGACAGGATAACTCATCTTTCATCCCCCAATAACTCTTGAAAGATACCTTGCTTTTTTTATACAGACATATCTCATCATATTTGAGGTCATGTAATCAAAGTTAATTACATTTTTGGGGGATGCCAAAGAGGGTGATACAGTGCCAGCATTTTTATCATTATCTTCTTCTTCTCCTTTCGGCTTGTCCCTTTTCAGGGGTTGCCACAGCGAGTCATTATTTTCCATCTTTCCCTGTTCTCTGCATCCTCTACTCTGACTCCAACTACCTGCATGTCTTCCCTCACGGCATCCATGAATCTCCTCTTTGGCCTTCCTCTCTGTCTCCTACCTGGTAGCTCCATCTCTAGCATTTTCCTACCAATGTATCCACTGTCCCTCCTCTGTACATGTCCAAACCATCTCAGTCTGGCCTCTCTCACTTTTTCTCCAAACTTTCCTGTCTGAGTTGTCCCTCTGATGACCTCATTTCTGATCCTGTCCATCCTTGTCACTCCTAAGGAGAATCTCAGCATCTTTAAACTCAGCCACCTCTAACTCTGCCTCCTGTCTTTTGCCAATTTTTATCATTATAAATGTATTAATTATATTATTACACAGCTTGTGAAATCATACTTTCTTGTGGTATCTCATCTTTATAATTCCGTCCACATTTAAGGGAAATGTGATGCCTCGTTCCTTTTCTGAAAAACTGATCAGTCGGAAGGGGTCATTTTTGCCTACTTTTTGAAGTCTTTAAAATGTCATAACTTACGTAAATCTTAACATCTTGACCAAATTTAAACACAATTCAATATTCTAGGTTTTAAGTGAGAAACGCAACCGATTATTTCCCCCAAACCTTCTTGGGTGGAGGGGGGCATCTTCACGCAAATCATTCACGCATGCGCATGCATCTGCACGCGCACCCGTCTGGCTATTATTTCCGCTTCATTCTCCAATTACACTTTTGATCCACCTTTTTCGTGCGAACGGTTGCTTTATCTGTCAAAATGCCAAATTTCCGTTCTTGTCACTTTTAAAGGAAATGCGACTTCTGAAAGAGGCGTTTGGGCGACTCGAAACTGTGACGTCACCGACGGTGAGGTTCTGATCAGCGTCGGACGAGCGCGCGCACTGTTAAACCGACACAACAGTTTTGTGCATAAGCACTTGTGTACTGTGTTTCTCGCACACGCCACCCGAGTACAAATGGGCCGCCCGGTGACACGTCATCACATTCAGGCTGTAATTATGTCATCTCCCAGCCGGGACGCAGGGACGGCGTCATATGCTAAAATGCTGGATAGCCCTTTTTGTCCAACGCGTGAAACTTCGACAAGAAAATCAAGGGTCGACCTGACAGGTCAGTCGTGCAATTAAAAAAAAAATGGTTTCAAGCTAAAAAAAAAATACCCAATTAATACTGCACGATAATACAAAAATTAAAAATGCTATGAATCGTACGCTTGAATTGCGTTAAGTGTTGCAATCGTGTGAATCGTTCAGGAAACTCGGATTTGCAAAGATCGAAAGTTACAAAATGTTTTCACGACATGCTCAGTGTTAGAAATTCCGTCACTTGCTTGAGTTTTGGACACATGTTCAGCATGTCCAGCCATCTCCCTGGCAACATTGTCATAGTGAAGTGGGCCGGCTCGAAACAATTCGTGTTGTAGTTCAATGAGCGCGCTGAAATCCGGACCACATGAAGACTAGAGAGAAAGAGAGGATTAGAATTTGCAAAAGGTAAATTATTTCAACCAACATCTTGAATTCACCCCACTGCATTAAGAAAAATATCGAATCTTTAAAGAACCCTAAAATAACCATTTCTTCCTGGGAGACATTTTTGTGGTTGAGTTACAGGCGCAGCTAAATGTTGCGTTGCTTTAGTGTAATATTTACAGGTGACTGTCATACTGTCAGCCAGCACAGTGGACTCACAGTTCTGAGATTCTTGGTTAAAATATTCCTGTGCGGGGTTTGCATGCTCTCCCCATGCTTGCGGGTGTCTTCTGCTGCTCCTTGGGTACTCCAACAACCTCCCACATTCTGAAAAAACATGCATTTAAATCACATGTCAACCTTTTTTGTGGCCCACTAAAACAAATAAACTGTCTACTTCATCTGTTTTGCTAAATAGAATTGTTCTTTTTAATTTGGGCCGAAAATCCATCCCAATTTCTCTTGTCTTTTTCGGATATTATAGATGGATGGATTCATAGATATAGATCCATGGATGGATGAATAGATAGATAAACACTGTAGATAGATAAATGACAATCAATGCAATTGTATGTATAATGAAAATTTCGATTTTACATTCATGTCACTTGGTGTCAACCTCAAGGCCCAGGGACCACATCTGCCCCCTACATAATTTTAAGTGGCCCGAATTAGCAAACCAAACATGTCAGATTCCATGATGCGTGCTAAAATCTGTACCAAAATGTCAAATTGTCATATGTAATAAATAATAACATTCAGATATTGAAAGCAATTCCTTGTTGTCAAAACCTTTATTTACAGTATTGTAAACAATAGTTGAAAAAAACCCATTATTCTTGAATTTGGATTTCAAAACCAATCATCCATCACCTTGTTATGGCCTGTGTTTGTAAAAATATGAGTAGGTGATTCAACACATCACTGCATAAGGGCCCTCCAAGGGAAACTAACTACAATGTGGCCTGTGACAAAAATGACCTTGACAGCCCTTATTTATATCATTTCCAAAGTCATAATGTGAAAATATAAAACTGTGACCTGTGGTAAATATGAGTTTGACACCTGTGTTCTAAATCGTACACAAAGGCCTGTCTGTTGATACAGTGGATATCAAACGTCTACGCAACCGTTAAAATTTCAGAGTTTCGTGTTAGAAAAATAAAAAGATAAAAAGATTAATTTCAAAACTCTTTCCATCATTGATGTGACCTGTAACGCATACAACTCAATTGAATGTTTTTCACCTTTCATATAAAAAAACAAACAAACAAACAAACAAACTCGAATGTTGTGGTTGTATAAGTGTGCATACCCTGACGCTGCTGTGTTCAGAATTCAAGCACATGCAATATCAACACAAAATCGGATAAAACCAAGGACCGATGGAACACTACAACTACAGTGAAGCATGGTGGCAGCATCATGCCATGGGGCTGTATCTCTTCAGATGAATCAGGGACCTTGGTCAAGGTGGAAAGATTTTGAAACAAGTCAAATGTTTGCACCAAACCTTTAGGCTCTTGTTGGGGGGTGGGGTGTGTATATATATATAGTATGTCAGAAAAAGTCAGCTAGGATATCACAAATTTATTTGGGGTTGATTTGAGGCATTACCGCTATTTCTATTATTTATTTTTGCTTACACCCTCAGTAATTAAATTTTTTTTCTCTTGCATTGTACTGGATGACGGTCATGATGATGGCAAAAAGTAGTGAAATTCTTCATCTCCGTCTTGTTTTTTATTTCACAAAACCCTGGTATTTGACCAACGGTGTGCCGACTTTTCTTTTATATCCACTGTATGTGACTGGTGTCCAGTCCAGGATATACCCGGACTAATCAGTTAGTATTGGCTAATCATACAAGTGGAGGTCAGCTGGTTGTTTTCACGCTGCCCATCGAATGGAAAACAAAATGTTGGTATTTGTTACAGATAATGCCTGATGAAGAGCCTTGGGTTGGATCATGGAGGCCCCACAGACCGCGAGGGCCCATAGCTGCCCTCTATAGCAGCCCAGGGCCAAAGTATGCCTTGCCTTCACTGACAGGTAGAATACCTTTCCCCCCCCCCCCCATACTAGAAACAATGTTTGTGGTATCCTCACAGAATATGCATTCTTTTTTTTTTTTTTTTTTTTTCATCCAGGTTCTACACTACATGATCCGACAAAACACAAAGCCCCCAGTTTCAGCTTCCGTGCCCACTATGACATAAGCACGCAAGAAACCTCACCCGGACCTAAACACCTCATCCCCTCCAATATCACCAAAAATGGCCGGGATGGGACACCAGCATTTTCGTTCGGTAGTCGTCCCAAGGATGCAGTGCGCGCCCAAGTCCCTGCACCCAGTGAGTATGACACACGTCTTTCTTTTTTTTTTCGCAGCACAACTATGTTCTTGGGAATGATGACATTTTCATTTGCTGTTTTTAGACCATTACCACCTTGAAAGTTCAGACAAGGTCACTTATCACACTTCTCCTTCTTATACGTTGTCCGGGAGGTGGAAACAAGTTGCACAGAGCAACCAGACTACTCCTGGTAAGTTTTTTCTTGACATTTCCCTTTTCTGGAATGAGCAAATATAATGTCTACAGCAGGGTACATGCATTACCATCCGTTCTGATTTTTAAAATCGGGATGTGTTTTGTTATACTTCCAATAGTGTGTGATGTAATCACAGCATGCCTCACAAATAGCGGCATCTCTACAGCCGTTCGCTAGTCTCCTACCCCAAACTTGATGTCTCTCGTAGTACTGAGACTAACCTGTGAGTAGCACCAACCTTCCTACTGCCGGAAACACAAAGATCCAGTCGTACAGCGGTGCGTTTAGGAATGGTATTGTATCAAAATACAAGCCATCGCGAACAAGAGTCAACAATTCCCCAAAAGTACATTCAAACACTTTAAATCCACTCCCAGTAGAGGTTTACTGTCAATCCAAACATAAAACAACAACAATTCCGCATGTATTTAAAATGACTGAATCAACTCTTACCAAAACTGTAGACTGGCTAAAGAATAGAATCTATGTGGTGGTGTTGTAACGCTTTAAGCACTGGCTAATTGCAACACAAAGGTGCAGCAACACATGCAGACAAGAATGTGACAAAACTCACAGGCAGACAGTATATTTATGAATTTGTATCTCCATGCACCACTGTAGAATAT